CACAAAGGCTTGCACATTATATCGATAATGTTTCAGCTACAGCTCTCACTTTTATTGGCTCAACAGAAGTCACATGACTATTTGCTTATACTTAAACGTACGTGTCCCATTACGCTATCTTCATCTCCCTGCCAGCCAAGTTCAACTAGTTCTTTGTGCTCCATTGCATGTGTTCACTTTGTTCCTTCACGTTATATGTTCATCCATCCCAGTTTATGCTAATGCTAAGCAGTTAACTTTGTCATGATGAACAATCCTATGCTATCAAGTCAGACTCAGGTTTGAGCAGACAAATCACATTCTTGATGATCTATCGATGCCAATCCCATATATTTTCAACTACAAAGACTCACCTGTTGTGTTGTGTCTCATAGCTAGTTGGAATATCATTTTATCCCATTCTCAAGATATCATCACTGGTGGTACAGAGGTCTTAAGTCTCCAACTTACTGGGGTCACTTGCAGGATGACCTGCTGAGGAAAATGTTCAACAGTTTATAACCAAATTACTCAGTACTAGCTCAGACACATAGTTACCCATGTCTATTTCTTATGTTATAGTAGCTAACGTAAGTATTGCTTATTACGTATGAGTGTCCTGCTGAAGGTAAAAAGCTCATCACTGCATCTACAGTTGATTTGTGAGGACAGAGAAGCTTAATGCATCCTTTCAGTAGCATCACACACCTCTGCCACTGCCTGAGCTCTTGTGCCTCTGAATCTCCCATCCCCGTCTTTGTCTCTTCCAGGCAGGACAATTCCAGTGGAGTTGTGCCTGGCCTTCAGCTTGTAAACTTCAACCCATCCAAAAATTCTGCCTGTTTCAAATGCCAGACTATCTGTGATTCGTTTCCTTGAGGCTTACATTGCTTTCCATAATTCACTATTTCAAATTGAAATTCTAACTTCCTTATTTACATCGTTTCCTGCTGCTACTTTGTATCTCCTGTGACTTTTCCTTCTCCTGAACGACTTTTATTACTGATAAATCATACAGCAAACTTTGTTTTAAACAGCACCTTATAAAAAGGCAAAAATTATATACCTCAAATACTGCGAAGTTTAATGTACTTTTCTGTCCAATTATTGTAGTTTTTAAAAATTAATTTATCTCAGTATAAATATGCTTGATTATTTGGACTTTCAGAAAGCGTTTGACCAAGTTCTGCATAAGAGATTATTGTGCAAGACGAAAGCTCATGGGATTGGGGGAAGTGTATTGAGATGGATAGAAAACTGGTTGGCAGAGAGGAAACAAAGAGAAGGAATTAATGATAACAAGGTGAAGAGCTGGATGAACACAACAGGCCAAGTAACATCAGAGGAGCAGGAAAGCTTTGAGTTCTTTTCAAATTGGCAGGCAGTAACTAGTGGGGTGCCATAGGGATCGGTGCTGGGACCCCAGCTATTCACAACATATATTAATGATTTGGATGAGGGAACAAAATGTAATATCTCAAAGTTTGCAGATGCTACCAAGTTGGATGGGAGGGTGAACTGTGACAAGTATGCAGAGGTCCTTCAGCATGATCTAGACAGGTTGATTGAGTGGGCAAATCAATGACATATGCACTATAATTTGGATAAATGTGAGGTTATTCACTTCAGAAGCAAAAACAACAAGGCAGATTCCTACCTAAATGGCTGCAAATTGGGAGAGGGGAGTGTGCAGTGGGACCTGGGTGTCCTTGTGCACCAGTCACTGAAGTAAGCATGCAGGTGCAGCAGGCGGTAAAGAAGGCAAATGGTATAAACAACTGCACCTCCCAGTCGCGAACCATTTCAACTCCCCCTCCCATTCCTCAGACGACATGTCCATCCTGGGCCTCCTGCAGTGCCACAACGATGCCACCCGAAGGTTGCAGGAACAGCAACTCATATTCCGCTTGGGAACCCTGCAGCCCAATGGTATCAATGTGGATTTCACAAGTTTCAAAATCTCCCCTCCCCCTACCGCATCCCAAAACCAGCCCAGCTCGTCCCTGCCTCCCTAACCTGTTCTTCCTCCCACCTATCCCCTCCTGCTACCTCAAGCCGCACCTCCATCTCCTACCGACTAACCTCATCCCACCCCCTTGACCTGTCCGTCCTCCCTGGACTGACCTATCCCCTCCCTAACTCCCCACCTACAATCACCTTAACTGGCCTCATCCCCGCCTCTTCGACCTGTTTGTTTCCTCTCCACCTATGCTCTCCTCTATCCATCTTCTATCCGCCTCCCACTCTCTCCCTATTTATCTCAGAACCCCCTTCCCCTCCCCCTTTTCTGATGAAGGGTCTAGGCCTGAAACGTCAGCCTCTCTGCTCCTATGATGCTGCTTGACCTGCTGTGTTCATCCAGCCCTGCACCTTGTTGTCTCGGATTCACCAGCATCTGCAGTTCCTACTATCCCCAAGGCAAATGGTATGTTGGCCTTCATTGCAAGAGGTTTCGAGTCCAGGAGCAGGGATGTGGTGTTGCAATTATACAGGACCTTGGTGAGGCCAAACCTAGAATATTGTGTGCAGTTTTGGCCTTCTTTTCTGAGGAGGGATGCTCTTGCTCTTGAGGGAATGCAGCGAAGGTTTACCAGGCTGATTCTGGGGATGGCGGGTCTGACACATGAGGAGAGATTGTTTTTGCTGGAGTTCAGATCAATGAGGGGGGATCCCGTAGAGACTTATAAAATTCTAACAGGACTAGACAGGGCAGATACAGGGAGGATGGTGAGTGTGTCCAGAACCAGGGCTCACAGTATGAAGATTCGTGGTAGACCATTTAGGACGGAAATGAGGAGACATTTCTTCACCCAAAGAGTGGTGAGCCTGTGGAATTCACTATCACAGGAAGTAGTTGATGCCACAACATTGAATGTATTCAAGAAGCAGCTAGACATAGCACTTGGGGCAAATGGGATCAGCAGATATGGGGATAAAGCAGGATTCAGCTATTGAATTGGATGATCAGCCATGATCATGATGAATGGTGGAGCAGACTTGAAGGCATCCTCCTGCTTCTATCTTCTGTGTTTTTATGTTAATTGAATGGCCACATGAAATATCAACAATTGATTCAATTTTGAGTCAATTTCTTCTCAAATACCGCAGTCTGCCATGATGTCTGAGTGGTCAGTTGAGGTTGTGAGTGAGAAGGATCTCTGTTGATAAGTTTTTTTTTAAGGCAAAGTTGCATTGTTATTTGTGATTTATGCTATAAATATAGTATAACAGTAATGTGTATATATACCCTGCATTACATTTCTATTACCTAGTGCATTCACATTGATTATGCTGACTTCTTGATTATCCTGAATATATAAAACTCATTTTCATATTACTCATTTTTTAACACCTGTCCCCAACACTCCCCCCACCCCCACCCCTTTGCACCAGTTTGCACAACGTCGTTGAGAGCTTTGTGTTAAGTTGTCTTGACTCTGTCCCTAAAGTCTTCCACCTCACCACTTCTCCCTCCAAAGATTTATTTGAACTCTACCTCTCTGTCCAAGCATTAGTTATGACTCCTAATGCCCTCTGCGTCTTGGAGTCCAGTTGTTTAATTGTGCCACTCTGTTGTACCTCAGGATAATTTTCTCTGCCAGAAATGATGATGTTGTTACAGAAGCTAACTTAGGTTTGCACATTTGTTGCTGAGTGTTGTTAGCTCAATGGTACCAGTTCTGCCAAGTAATTACCATGCTCCATGCAATGTCTTTTCATTTCTAGTCATCGTTTTTGTTATAAGAAAATCCATTACGTTATTTAACATTTTTTTAAAATTTGCTATTTTCTGTAATTTATATCAACAGAAGACAAAATAGGTATCAGTATTTTGTAAGAATCCATTGAGTTTAACATTTTTTTTGTGTTGGCTTGACTGCCAGAGCAAACACCATGGATGCTGTCTGACCTGCTGTGATCTCCAGCATTTTTTTTTTCAGTCAAGAAAGAACTGAGTTTAATTTTGTAGGTGACCTCTATCTGATTTGAAAAATGCCACTAACTCTTTTTATAAGGAAATGTGTTGGGGGAAAAAAAAATGCCTTTCAATTCCAGTGAAATGACTGGGGCCAGATGTTAGTTTGATTATTCTTAGGCCTAGGGTATCACCAAATTCTGCATCAGTGATGGGAAGCAACTACGAAAATAATGAAACTAAAGGAGTCCAACAGAAGAAGTCCAAACATTGATGCAACTAAATTGATTTTTTTATATATACACAGTTAGGAGGCATCCTGCATCCTGTGCAGCTTCCCAGTTGGCTGAACAGTTACCCATTCCTACTGTTCCTTTAACTATTGGAGCAGATATGAATGAAGAAGGTGAAAAAAGACATTTGGAAGTTTAGGGGTTTACAAGAGGCCAACACAACAATGAAATATGCATCATCTTCGGTGTAGCACACTGAGAATGAAGTAACTTGGAAAGAAAACTGGATTGTGTGGGAGGGAAAGTGTTGGATATGCAATAGTAGGTATAACTGAGGATATGCCATCTATGCAAAGAAATAACAGAAGCAAGTCTAACTTTCATGACTTGTAGATATGTTTACAGGGAAGGAATTATGTTTGACTCCAGAGGTAATTGGAAGATTCTGTGCTATCAAGTGTTCATTATATTCTTCCAGTCTGGTGCTTGGTCTTCTGCTGGTGGCTGCTGCACACAATAATGCACCTAGTTCCCACGCCTTTGGATGTTCCTCATTCAAATTTGGAAGACTTCAGTCCATGACAGTATAGCGCAGTGTAGTGCATACAGTTTGTCAACTGTCTCTGGTGTAAATTGCATTTGGCCCCTCCAGTATTGTTTCAAAAAATGTGTTGCTTTTGAGCTCCAAGCTGACATTTTATTACTTGTTAGCATCTTTGCTTTTTACAACCCTGAGTAGTTGATATAACACTGGTTGTGTACCTTTCAGACACTATAGGCAGATCATCTTTTGGCAGTATTAGCTTTGAGTGACAAGGCCTATAGTGAATATAATTTTGTTTGAAATTAATTTTGTGCATTTCCACCTCCAGTCTCAACCAGGTTTTGGATCTACATTATCTAAGGAATGAGCATTTTCTAAACAAAAATGAGTCATCAAGGATATGTTGCAACACCACCTTATTCTCAAGCTAAACCTGGAATGGGAGGATATTCTGCTGGCTTTAGTTCAGCAACTTCTCAGCCGCATTATGGCCACTATGGTGGAACAGCTCAACCATATTCTGCAGCTCAAACAGGTAATGCATACGGGGAAACAGTCTTGAACAGAAGTTTTAAACTATGTCTTGTTCTTTCCTCCTCTTCAACTTCACTGAGAGACAAGGCTAGAAATAATGAGACATGCAAGCCTTGCAATTAAGACCATAAGATGTAGGAGAAGTAGACCATTCAGCTCATTGAGTCCGATCCACCATTCAGTGAGATCGTGGCTATATGATAATCCTCAACTTCATTCTCCACCTATCTCAGCCTTGAATATACTCATCAACCCAGACTCAGCCCTCCTCTGTGGTAAAGAATACCACAGATTCACTACCCTCTGTAAGAAGAAATTCCCCCTCAGTCTTAAGTGGATAACCCTTGTTCTGAGATTATGCCCTCCCGCACAAGCAGAAAGAACTCTTCCACATCTATCCTCTTAAGTCCCCTAAGAATCTTGTATGTGTCAATAAAACCACCTCTCATTCTTCTAAACTCTAATGAGTACACATCCAACCTACTCAACCTCTCCTCTTAGGACATTCCTCCATAACTGCGATCAACTTAGTGAACCTTCTCTGGACTGTCTACAATGTTTCCTTAGATAAGGAGACCAAAACTGTTCAGAATATTCCTGTTGTGGTCTGACTTGTGCCTTTTATAGCATGAGCAAGACCTCCCTACTTTTATATTCCATTTCCTTTGAAATAAAGGAAGGCCATTTGCCTTCCCACTTACTTGCTTAACTAGTACTCTCGCTTTTTGTGATTTATTCACGAGAATTCCTAAATCCTTTGTGCTGGAGCTTTCTGCAGTCTTTCTCCATTTAACAAATATTCAGCTCCTCTATTTTTATACAATATAGTGCAATACAGCGCAGGAACAGGCCCTTCGGCCCCTCAAGCCTGCACAGATTCCTAGACATTCTTGGTAACCACTACTTGTTGCCGATGCATGGTTTCTATCCCTCTGTTTGCCTTCCGTTTTTGCACCTATCAAAATCAGCTTTAAATGTTGCTAACGTGCCTGCTTCCACTACCTGTACTGGCAGTGCGTTCCAGGTACCCACCACCCTCTGTGTGAAAGACTTTCCCCACACTTCTCCCTAGGCTTTTCCCCCTCTCACCTTGAACCTGTGCTGTCTGGTAGTTGACCTTTCCACCCTAAGAAAAAGCCACTGACTATTCACCCTATCTACACCTCTAGTAATTTTGTAAACCTCATTCAGATTGCCCTTCAGCCCCCGATTTTCCAGTGAAAATAATCCGAGTTTATGCAACCTCTCCTCATAAAACCCTCCAGACCAGGCAACAACCTGGTAAACCTTCTCTGTACCTTCTCCAAAGCATTCACTTCCTTCTGGTAATGTGGCAGCCAGAACTGCAAGCAATATTCCAAATGTGGCCTAACTAAAGTTTTGGAAAGCTGTAACATAACTTGCTAATTTTTATATTCAATGCCCTGGCCAGTGGAGGCAGGCATGCTGTGTGTCTTTTTGACCACATTATCTATCTGTGTTGCTATTTTCAAGCATTTGTGGAGTCAAATAACCAGAATCCCCTATATGTCATTGCTTCTAAGGGTTCTGACATTTATTGAATAATTCACACCTAAGTTTGATCATCCAAAATGCATCACCTCGCATTTATCCACATTAAACTCCATCTGCCATTTCTACATCTGCAATCTATCTATATCCCGCTGTATCCTTTTGATAATGATCCTCACTATCTGCAACACTGCCGATTTTGGTGTCATCTGTAAACTTATTAATCAAACCACCTACTTTTTCCTCAAGATCATTTATATATATTGCAAACAACAAAAGTTCCAGCACTGATCCCTGCAGAACACTACTAGTTATTATCTCCATTCCGAAAAGCACCCTTCCACCACTACTCTCTGTCTTCTGTGACCAAGCCAGTTCTGTATTCCTCTGACAGCTCACCCTGGATCCTGGAGACTACCTTCTGTACCAGTCTGTCATGAGGTACATTATCAAACACCTTACTAAAGTCCGTGTAGACAACATCCACTACTCTTCTCTCATCAATCATTCTTGACACCTCCTCAAAAAACTCAATCAAGTTGTCGAAACGTGATGACCCTCTCTGCAGAAACTCATGCTGCCTATCACTAAAAGTCCATTTGCTTCCAATAGCTGCCAATGCATTTTCACATAAATATATTGCACCTGCCAAGTTTTGCCCACTTGCATAACCTGTCCATCTGCCTCGTTCTGTCATCTTCCCTACTTGCCTTGCTGTGTCATCTGTGAAATTGGCTACAGTACATTCACTTTCTTCATCAAGGCCATTCCAGTCTATTCCTTTGATCGTTCCAAAAAAAGCCACCTCCTTCTCTTATTTTCTATGTTTCAATTGGGATCAAAGATTACGGGGAGAAAGCGGGATTAGGCTATTGAGTTGGACGATCAGCCATGATCGTGAAGAATGGCACAGCAGGCTCGAAGGGCTGAATGGCCTCCTCGTGTTCCTATCTTCTGTGTTTCTATACATTTGTAAGTAATTGTAGTCCCAGCATTGATCCTTGTGGCACTGTACCAGTTACAAGTTGCTGTCCTGAAAATCCGCCACCCTCTCCTTTATCCAAACTCTCTGTCCTCTGCCAAATCTCTGTCTATGCTAATATATACTACCTCCAATACCATGAGCTCTACCGTGAAGACTTTTTGAATGGTGCAGTAATCCTTCAACAATGCTTGGTTTTTAGAACAGTTCTTTTCTCATTTCAGTGGATAATCAAAAATACAGTGAAGTAACGATATACAATCTTTACAGGATTCCCAGCAACACCAAGACTTTGATGGCATAAAGAAAATAGTGTGTATAATTAACATATACCAAGCTGTTCCAACGTAGATTGATCCATTGTAGGGATAGGCATCTCCTAGACTCCTGCAATTTTTGGGGAGTCAGGCCAGCTCTGGATGAAGTCAAAACTGAACATGCTGCTGAAACACAACAGTGTCTGTGGAGAGAGAAACCGAACTATTCTGATGTTCAGAACTCGGGGATCTGAAGAACAGATCTGAAGCAGTCATAATCGGCTTGAAACAGAATTAGCGTTTTGCATTAGTTATGACTATCTCCACAGATGCATCCAGACCTACGAAGGTTTTCCACCACTTCCTGTTTTTATTCCAGATTTCCAACAGCCACAGTGTTTTGCTTTCATTTCAGCTCCTGGCTGATTTGTGCATCATGGTCCCTTGGAAGAGTTGTGAATCATAGCCTGGATTCTGGGACATTTTGAAAGGTCTTATCATTCCAATTCACTGCCAACTCATGACACCCTACCCAACCCCACTTTGTTATAGATTCTGTGCCAACTCATTCTGTATACACAATGTAGAAAACAAATAAGCTATATAGAAACAACAGAAGAGAGAAACTTCTCGGGGAAAAAAAAACACCTATTAACAAATCTTCTTTCTGTTTAAAAAAAAAACCCTCCTGTTCTCATACACGCTATAAAAGTGAGAGTCAGACTGACCATTAAAGTACCAATACTGAAGTTTTCAAGCACATCCCCCATCTTAGTCTGCGCAACTAAATATTGAAACTTTGAGAAAAGAGAGAACCAAAAACAAAACTTACATACATTTAAATATGTCAGTTGGTCAAAGTTACTAGTTCTTTCCAGTTGTCAAAATAGAACACCCAGCAGAGGTGATCCTTTTTATGTGTCTAGGCTCTTAGCCAAGTATGCATGATGATGACCTGTAGATACTCTTTCAGCAGAACTGGATCGCCACGGATGGTTCTATAGCTTTGGGAAATCAAAGTAACCTGAACAAACATTCTAATTTAAAAAAAGAAGTCAAGTACTTGAATCTGCTTGTGAACAAAGTTATGTGATCATTTTGTAATAGTTCAAAAAAAAAATTGTCTCAGGTGTAAATTGTATTGTAGGCTTAGCATTAAAGGGATATACAAAGAGAGAATATTTCCAATTGTTCATCTTTGTGTGAACATGTTTTATATTGTAGACTTTGTACGTACATTTCTTTCTTTGTTGTCACTGTTCTCAAAAGACTTTAGTTCTGAGTATAGGCTTATGGTTCATGGATGCATTTTCTTTCCAGGACCTTTAAAACCACTGTCTTCACCTCATGGATCTTCAATGTCTGTTGGTCACCCACCACCTGCTCCTGGCCAGTTTGGCCAAACTAGCCTCCAGAATGGAATATATAATCCTGGAAACCAGATGCCAAGGTATTTTCATTTTAAAAGAAAAATCATTCATGGGATGTGGGTGTCATTGGCTGGGCCAGCATTTATTGCCCAACTCTAGTTACCCTTTTGAAGTTGGTGGTGAGCTGCCATAATACAGAAAGGAAGATCGGCAAAATACAATTTTAAACTTGCAGACAATCACTGCTTCATTTTTGTCAAAAATGAATAAACTCTGCCAATGTCTTACATGAATGATGTAAAGCTTTTTACTTTTAAATTTGCACCAGCAGTTTCCTTGTGCATGTATGGTAGAAGAGAAGCACACAAAGTTTTACATTCTGATTAGATGCATTCCAACAAGGCTTTTGACAAAACTACTTTGCTCATGTCCCCCCTCTCTGCCACCCCACCATCCAGTCTTTTAGAAACCTAACCTATGTCCAGTAGATTGTAAGCCTTGATATTGTTGTGGTTTTCCATTGCTTGAAAACTGTACCACATGCCAAAAATAGTTATATTTCGATTAACTATCCAATATTGAAGAATGGATTAAAAGTTGCAATGCCTCAATAATTATGATTATTTTTTAAAATAAAGTGTTTATTTTCTTCTAGCCATGCAACTCCTCCTCCACACGGTGGTCAAACACCTCCTACTCAATCCCATGGTTCTAAATCACAGGCAAATTACCAGAACACTGCACCACCTGTATTCACACAGCATGTCAGCAATCAGCTTGGTGCAATGCAAATAAGCAACTATGGTAAGTTGGTTTTTTTTGTTTAAATAAAGTAACTTAAGCCAGTTGAATACTTAGGAGTATAGGGAGAGGAAGATGATGACAAAAAGAAATTTTTACTCATAATTTTGCATTTTTGAAAGGTTTCTGTTTCTAGATGGTTTCTTTACAGTTGTCCCAACTGATGGTCTGGGCCTTCAATTTCTTCATCCTTTTGAACCTTGAGTCTGACACAGCAAAAGAGTGGAAGATGAAACTGAAATTTTTAAAGACCTTGTGTCTTCACATCCACGTGAAGATTTCCTGAATGACATACATGCTTTGATGAATCTAATTTAGTCTTGTTGCTTTACAAAATCAAAGGAAACTTATTTTCGAATCCTGTGGTGATCCAGGAATGTTTGAAGTCTCAATAAAATACGTTGAGTTCTTTGTTCACAACATTTCGGCCATTCAGAATCTATACACTCACTCGTATTTTTTGTTTTAGATTTGTGTGGGGAACCGATAAATTACTCCTCCAGAATTCGTGTAATTTAAATATAATTTACATTGACAAGTTCCCCTTATAAAATACAAATGGAAGAAATTACCGTAGATAGAATTCAGAGAAAGTAAGTAAGGAAAATGCAACAAAATCAGAAAATATTTTTTGTTTTGTAAAATGTTCTGAGATATTGTTTAACTTAAAAGCTGTCAATTGTTGGATTCATGGAAAAGTGATTCAAAATGTATTTCACTTGAATGTTATTTACAAATGTTTGTGATTTCACTCAAAGATATTGGCCCTATGTGTAAACCAAGACATTAAATTTCCATAATTTACTTGTATTGTTCTGAAATTTCCTTCTCCACAATTCGTATAGGTTGGTTACACCATGCTACAATGATGGAGCCAAAGATTTCAGACGAGCATGTCAATTATGTGTACATTTGAGTCTATGACATAATATTAGGAGCTGCAGACATAAATTCAGATACTAGTGTTTGGTTCTTTGGAATAGAATTGTTCAATTCCATCAGGCAACTCTCTCCTTGCTTTGCTGGCATTGGTATGAGCCCTGACTAATTTAGATGGATGGCCTCTGAAGAATAATTTGGCAAGCTGCAGTAACAGGTGAGAGAAACGTTGGTACTTGGAGAGACTTAGGTGTCCTTGCACCGGAACCACACAATGTTTAACATTTAAACAGTGAAGAAGAAGTCTTAATGGAATTACATAGGGCCTTGGTGAGATCAGACTGAGCATACTGTTTGCAGTTTTGGTCTTTTTAGCTGAGGATTTAGCACAGGGTTGTTAGGTATTAATGGAAACAGCAGATCAGTTACCTATTCCCTATTTTTACACCCACAAACTCCACATTTCTCAACCAAGACCAGTTACAAGATGACTGAACGTAAACATAGTTTTGACCAATATTTGAACGATTTCAATAACTTGAAGCTTATAACACATAGACATTTACAGCACAAAGATCCCATTGTCTATTATGGTCAACAAAAATCTGATTTATAATCCCATTTCTCTACTATTGACCCAAAGCTATGAAGGCTATAACAATGCAAGTGAATATCTAAATACCTTTTAAATGTTACAAGTGTTTCTGACTTAACCACTGCTTCAGTCAGTGAGTTCTAGACTATTGCCATCCCTGGATGAATAACATTCTTTTTAACTCTCCTCTGAGCCTTCTACCTTTTTAGTCTTAAATCTAAGACATCTGGCTGTTGGCCCTCTACCAGTGGGAATAGTCCCTACTTATCCACTCTATCTATGCCCTACATAATCTTATACATCTCTATCTGCTCCCCTTTCAAGCTTCGATGCTCCAACAAAAACCGCCCCAGACTATTCAAGTACTCCTCATTGTTCTGACCCTTGGTCCAGGCAGTATCCTAGTAAGTCTCCTCTATACCGACTTTGCTGCAAATACATCCTTCCTTAAATATAGTGATTACAGCTGCAAAAAGGACTCCAGTTGTGGCCTAATCGGCATTTTATATAGTCCAAGCAGCATAATATCTCTGCTCTTGTATTCTGTGCCCTTCCTAAGAAAGGCAAGTACCCCATAGACCTTATTAACCACCTGATCTAGTCAGAAGGTAGCCTTGCTACTTTCAGGGGTTTGTGGATATATACACCAAGGTCCCTCCAATTTTCTCTACTTTCCAGCGTCCTCCCACTTATGGTGTAATCCCTTGCCTTGTTAGCCTTCTCAATTTGTATTACCTCACATTTTTCTGTGTTGAACTCCATTTGTCACTGCTCTGTCCACTTAACAGGTCGATTGATACCCTCAGTTTATGACTATCCTTCTCACAATTTACCACATTACCAATATTTGTGTCGTTCACACACTTCTTGATCATAACCCCTAGATTTAAGTCCGACTCTTTAATGTACATGAGAAATAGCAAGGACCCCCACACCTAGCCCTAACGGACCTCACTGTGATCAGAATTCTGAGCACAGAATCGTCCCTCTATCATCGCACTCTGCTTCCTGCTTATCAGCCAATTTAGGATCTGACATATCACTTTGCCTTGGATCCCATGGACTTTCTTGACCAGTCTGCCATTGGGGACTGTATCAAAAGCGATTCTAGAGTTTATGAAGCAACATCAAAAAATTACCCTCATCAGCACCCTGGCTTATCTCCTCCAAAAAATTAATTACATTTCTAAAATACAATCTTCTCTTAACAAATCCATGCTGACTATCCCTGAATAATCCTTGTGTCCAAGTGTAGAGGTTAGACTGATTGGCTTGTAATTTCCTGGTCTGTCCCTTCCTTGCATTTTATATAAATGGGATAACACTGGAACCCCTGCAGTCCTCTGGAACCTCACCTGTGGCCAGAGAGGATTTGAAAATTACTGCTAGGGACCCTGATAGCTCCTCCCTCAATAGTCTTTGATATATCTCATCCAGACCTATGGATCCATCCACTTTTAAGGCAGCTAAACTTGTAAAACCCCTCTCTCCCTATTTTAATTTCTTCTAATATTTCAAAGTTCTCCATCCTGAAGTTTGTGTCTGCATCATCCTTTTCCATTTTGAACACCGACAGAAAGTATTCATGGAGAACTGCACCCACATCTTCTGGATCTGCATGCAGATTACCTCTATTCTCCCTAAAGGATGTTCCTCTTGCATAGGCTCTTGCTCTTCATGTATTTTTTTAAAATCTTTCTATCTTCCTTTATTCTACCAGCCAGTGCTTTCTCATACTTTCTCTTAGCTTTACTAATTTCTGCACATTTTATGTGATCTTAGAGACTCGGCCATACCGAGCCCTCATTACCTGCCATTGAAGCTTCTTTTTTACTTCTTCATCCTAACCTTTATGTCCCTTCACAGTCGAAGGTTTTCCGGCCTTGGCCACACCCTTTTGTCTTTATGGGAACATATTTGCCTTGTGCTGTCACTGTTTCGTCCTTGGATGCCTGCCACTGTCCTGACACAGTTTTATATGCAGGTAGATGCTGCTAGTTCACTTGGGCCAAATTGTATATTATCTTAGTGAAATTAACCTTTCCCCAGTATCGAATTTATATTCATGTCCCATCCTTATTCTTTCCCATATCTATACTAAATGTCATAAACTACGTGTTATCGTCACTATCTTCAAAATGTTTCCCCACTGATGCACCTTCCACCTATTGGGCTCATTTGAATGTTAGGTCAAGAACTTGTTGGGCTTTCTACATCCTGGCTAAAACAGTTCTCTTCAATGCGATTTAACCATTTTTCTCCCTCCCTACTTGCGCACGAAAACTAGCCCAGTTAGTACTTGGGTGGCTCAAAACTCCTACTGTTACTACCTTATTATTCTTATGCTTCTCTGAAGTTTGATTCTGTGTCCCTACGTGACTGTTTTGGGGGCCTAAAATACACATCCAACAGCATAAGTTTTTTTTCTGTCTCTAGTCATGTAGGCTCATTTGATGATTCTTCCAAGATATTGTCCTTTTTACTGCTATAATTGATTTCCTTGATAATATTGCAACTCCCCACCCACTTCTATTGCCCACTAAACCTCATCTGAATACCTTTTTAACCAGGAATATTGAGTTGTCAATACTGCCCATTTTACAGTCAATTGTCAGACAAAACTATGGTTTCTTGTCCCTTTTAGCCTCGCTGCTGCTAATTTCAAGTCCTGCGCAGATCCACCACCACTCTGTCTGATTCTGGGAACTCACTTCACCAGCTTATCTCAATGATGCTGGCTGCCTGTCTTGGGGTTTCTACCTCACCCACTTCTGTCTATGGTGACTATTGTAACTGTTAATTTGTCATTTTAGTTTTGTAAATGTTGGTGCTTCAATTTCTGATTGACATGAGCATTAGGAATGCATTGTAAATGTGTCACGTGAGCCTTATGTTATGATCCCAGTTGGTAGTACTACTGGAAAAGTCTGATTTCAGAGTGAAATAACTTAAGTTTTGTTTTTGTAGCTGGCTACCTATACTGTGATAATCAGTCACTGAACAGAGTTACACAAGGCTGTCAATGTACTTTTAACAAAAGAACATCTTTATTACACAAAAGAAAAGAAAACAAAGATATATTTTTGCCAGACAATTTATAAAGATATTCTCATAAGCAGCAAAAAAGAAAATTTCAACTCTTTTCCCAGCATTATTCTAAACCTTGTTAATCAACTGACAAGGTTGCAAGCATTTCCTTCCAGCAACTTTCTGTGTGTTAAACAGATGTGATTCTCTTAGTTATTGTCCTCAAAACACATCAACACAAGCTACTTTACTGGCTTTTCCTAACTGAACTTAAGAAAAGCCATATCTACTTAAACTGCTAATAGTTTTAAGACTTTTTTCAACTTCTGAAAGTCTGGGCTGTGACAACTAAACTACCCTTTGCTGGGGATATGAAACTGTTCTTCTCAACTGAAATCCCCAGGTCTGTATTTTTCTAAGTCATCACAATTCAACGAAGCAAATATTTCATCAATAACTCACCACCTACTTTATGTGATACAACAAGGTGTAGAGCTGAATG